TTTCATATATCTTCCACATCTTATATTCTACTTAAATTGTGAAATAGGACATTTGTTAGCACTGGATGAAGATGCAAGTTTTAAGAAGCAATCTAAAGGTATTTTTAATCATTCTTATACTAGATACACTTATGTCAACATTATACAAATTGGTGATTTCGCAATTGATTGAATTATGATATATTTGAATATAACTTTTTATTTATGGATTGAATTTTTTCAAATTCAAATAAAAATACATTACTGACAGTCAAATCTTTCTTAAAATAAAACCCGCACATTTTATTTTTCTCACAGTTTACTCCCATTTTTATTTTACTCTGGCGTCCTCTATCAGCTGAAAACTTGCTACCAGAAACTTCAATCACCTCCATGACTTCTGTAAATGCTGACCGATGAGCAGTGTATTGCAACACGGTCCTCTGGGCAATCTGGTACATCTGGTGGTGGTTCAAGGCATTTAATCAGACAGCAGACGTTTCAGACGTTTCACCTTTACAGCCTGGTGCGGCAAGAACCAGAGAGGGTATATGAGTACCGCTGCTGATTTGAATGGAGGACACGAGCGATATGTTGCTGCCGGAAGCAACCAGCAGGGTGGGAAAAGGATAATTGTATTTTTATTGAGCTATATCATAATTTTGTATTGCCATTTTCAGGGTCGTCAACGTCTTCAGAATCTCTAAAGGCTCCAGGCCTAGTTCCATTATCCACGGCACCGCATCAGTCTGGAATTTCGACTTCACAAAGAAGTTCTAGAGTAAGTTGCTGGCAAAAAGAAAATGTTGATCCGATGCTTTTGGTAGGTGCAGGGAAGCAGATACAGGTCTCTCAACAGGCGGAGCGGTTCTGCACCTGCTCCAACACTGCCACCAGCAGACGAGAGTTTAAATTTGACGACTGTGCAGAAACAGGGAGAAATTTTGAGATCTATTCATGGGGAAGGGGATCGGTTCCGGCTGCCATTATTACATTAAGTGAGTAACTAGTGGTGTATGACATCGTGGCAAATTGCTGGAACTTTCCGTACAGTAATGAAATATTCTGAAACGTAAAGATGTGCAAAAAATTTCAATTTCTGAAAAAAAGTTGAAGTTTGAAGTTTTAAAGTTGATCCTAATTTGTATGTGGATCCTGAATGACGCACGCCTCCAAATCGAAGTGCTCCCACATCAGGTGCGAGCAGCGATTGTGGAGCAGTTTCTCTCAGCATCAGCTTGAACTACAAACGAAGGGGTTCCGTACCGTGCGAAACTTTGCCAAAGACAAAATCCAACTCTCACGTCAACTACCCACAGATAACATACACTGTATCCATTACCCAAATATCATGCACTCTCTATCATATTGTTTTAGAGCTAAAACTTTTAGATAATTTTATCAATTTCGAAGCATTTAAGCACTTGGGTAGCAAGGAAATTCAAAATTATCCATATTAAGGACAACCCTAATGTACAGAGTACCCCGAATTAAACGTCAAGCGAAACAGGGGATAAAATCTATTCTTATTATATCAACCTAAAATTTTGGCTAAGAATACAAAATAGAAAGAGAGATAGTAGCGTTCAAGTTTACCAAGAGTGAGCAGATAGATAGTGACGTTTTTGTTGGAGTCACAATAATCGGGTATTTGAGACTTTTATTTTTCACTCGATTTTTTAGGATGAAACTAACAAGTTTGTACTATTTTACAATCCTGATTGAGTGCACAAACTTTTAATGATACTTGCCAAAGCACTAGTACATTTTTTTAAAGAGAATAGTTATAAAGATGACGAATTTTGGGTTTGTGGTTTAACAAATATTTGACTGCGGTTGACTGAATTTTTCCAAAATTGATCAAAAAAACCCAAAATTATTTATTTTCACCAGATTTCTAGGTTATTCTTAAATGCCCCAAATTTTCGAGATGTATACGACTTTTTTTTTTCTAATTTTTTTCATAATGGTTTCAATTAATTCTGTCACCCTGATTCGGATTGATGTTGAATTATGGGACACCCTGTATATTTTTTCTCGGGACATACCCGCACATAGACTTTCTTAAGACAAACATTTTTAGTACAAAAACTTTGAGCCAACTTCAGTTACGCTTAACTATAATATATAATAACTAATGTTATATTGATATTTTTTCCATTGGAGGTTAGTTTTGAGGCGTTAACAGTATCAAAATTTTTGAAATATTAGTATTTTTACATATCAGTTTCATTTAACGCTGCATTTGTGATGTAATATTACTCGTAAATGCATAAAACAACATATTCTTATATATACTTTACTCCATATGAGCATCGCACGACGAATATATTCGCCAATGCACAAAATTATGTCACTTTTCTCGTGACGAGTATGCACGTCAAACTCAGTTAACTAACTTTGAAAAGAAACGCGAAACGCAAATGTATCTAATTTACACGCACAACAAATATACTCGTCAATACCCAAAATTCGGGCACTTTTCCATGATTTATATTTTTTTGTTTTATTTATTTCAGTCGCAGTTGACTAACACAAAAACACACAAAACACAAACGTATCCATTATGTTACTTATCTATGAACGTATCTAATTTAACACACGGCAAATATATTCGCTGCACAGAATTCTGCCACTTCTCCTTGACGAGTATACACGTCAATCGCAGTTACTAACTTAAGAAAAGAAACGCGAAACGCAATAGTATCTAATTTACACGCACGACAAATATATTCGTCGATACACAAAATTCTGCTCCATGACGAGTATACTTGTCAATCGCAGTTAACGCAAAACGAAACGACTCAAAGCGGGGTACGGGTTAATAATTAGTACTTGTTGATAAAAACCAATAAAAATAATATATTTTAAGAATCTCTATGTGCGTAAATCCAAAATACTTGTAATAAATTATTATAATTTTGGACGAATGAAATGTGAAACCAAATATGATGTATCCCGAATGTGACAGCAATAAAAACTATTCAACATTATTTGTTTCCAGAATCAATTTGTTTTATTAAGAACCAATGTACTGGCCAATCAGAGCAACGTGCGACAGGGACAGGAATAGAGTTTGTAGAGCGCTGTCTCTGTCACATGGTTTGTGCGATGTGATTGGTTGTAACCGAGGTAAATATTACTCGTATAGAAAGATTTTGAAAATATTTTAAAAGCAAGTTGTAAACCTGATAATGGAATGTATCTAGATCTGATAATATATATCTTATATATAAAAATGGAGCTCTCTTTCAAAGTCCAAGTAAAACTCGAAAACGGCTAAACCGATTTGACCAGTCTTAGTCTTGAAAAATTCGTGCCAATCCAGAGATGGTCGGAAAGGTGAGATATTATTTCAAAATCGCGTACAAACTTACATTTTTAATTTGAAAATTTTTGTTTAAGCGTAATGTAAATAAAACAATGGACGGTGGCTTATACTTGAAATGTCAAACGTTTTTGACAGATGATGTTCGATTACGTTTAATAGGATGTTTTACGTGAATATTATTTAATTATGATTAAATTGTAGCAAGTAGCTGTTTGTAGTTTTATTTATATACAAAAACGTTATATATAAATAATGGCCGCAAGTGTTACTAGAAACCCAAAATATCAACTCTTTTGAAATGATAATATGAAAATGGACTTTTTGGTGTTGTAGCACTCTTTTTTTTGCAAATCATATTTTCTCAATCAGGGTGCTCTGAAAGATCTCATTATATAATTATATACTCATTGGTATTTATAAAACATTTTCTAGGATATATTATTTTTTAATTATGTTATTTCAATTCAGAACCTAAATTTGGTATCGATCAAATGGACATTTGTCGAATAACATTTTTCCAGTTATAATCTTCCCAGAATTTATTGCAGAATAGATAGTAATATGAAGGTCCGGGATTAAAAAGGTCCACACGATGTGCCAAAAATCAGTAAAGTTAATCATTGTTTAACAACAATATTTGAAAGTAGAGGAAAAAATATGTATAACCAGCTATAAACTTGATTTGAAAACGATAATCTTTGAAATGGGGGAGATAAACGGTAATCTTTCAAATCCATAATAAAAGTATTTTCTTCCGTTGGTAGTTTTAGCATTAGTTAAAAATGTAATTATTTTGTAAAATATCTTTAAAATTATAATAAGGCTTTAAACCTTTTGCCACCTGCCCGTTACAAGTTACCCCGCATATAGGATAAAAAGGTCTAGATAACAAATTTTTGGAAGACATCAAAAAAGCACATTTCTACAATGATGAAGTAGAAGTCAGTTTATTGAACGTAGTCAGATAATTGTTTGTTTGATATGTCTTGTTTGTTGTGATATAGTTGTTATGGTTTTCACAATATAGTTTATATTTGCTCAAAGTCAAATTGGACCTTTGTGTCTCACCCTGCTCTACATATATTCTTTTTATTAAATTTACTTTAATTCATCGAATGTAACTTGAAACTATTCAAAAAGCAGGTCAAAGAAGAAATACTTAATTCATTTTTATCTCTCCTCGCAGAAATTTGAAAATTTTGTATAAGCTCAGTAGTATTATTACAATTATACACAAAATCCAGAATCTAAAAAGAATCTGAAAAACTTGAAACGTAATCAATATGTCGAAAGACCAAAAATATGACTTGGATTGGATTATACGATGTTTTCTATAGAAAGTGTATAAAACTTGCAGTTTGATTGTATTGACAAACTATAGACAAACTAATGGGTTTATTGTTTTTATAATACCTAATTGTATACAGCATTCAAACAACACATTCTTATGCACTTAAAATATTAATATTATTAATTAATATTTTTGATTCTCTAGAAATGGTTTACAATATACCTTATTTAGTAAAACAACGTTTGCCGGGTCAGCTAGTATATATATATATACATGCATATACATTAGAGGGTGGTTCTTAATATAGACATTTTCGAATTTCCTTGCTTTCCAGGGCTCAAATGGTTCCAAATTGATAAAAAAAACTCTCTGAAAGTTTTAGCTCTTAATATTAACTTTTAGATAGTACGCAATTCAATCAAACTTCATATGGAAATAGCATGGAAAAAATTTTGAAAACTACTAAAAAAATGTTTAGGTATAACTTAGCGACAAATGAATGAAAAGTGAAAATTTGTGTCATTTTTTATTGAAAATTCGACGCCCTGCAAAATTTTTGAAAGATGTTTCATGCTATTTCCATACAAAACTTTTATTGAATTGCGCTTTATCTAAAAGATAATATTAAGATCTAAAACTTTCAGAGAATTGTTCTTTATCAATTTGGAACCATTTGAGCCCTTGGGTGCAAGGAAATTCGAAAATGTCCATATTAAGGACCAACCTAATATACATACAAACATACTTTAGATATGCTAATTGTGATAACACACTTAAAAAGGGATACTTTTGCTTGGAATTATATTTCCAAGTGATAACCGTTCTCACAACTATCTGACATCAGGCTGCCAGTGGTATCGAACTTGGGACTTCTGAGTAGAATTCCATAGTTTTTACCAAGGCTCATATATTAAGAATAAATTTAATTTTTATTTTTCGATTCTAAATCATACTATCTATACAATATTATAATTATTTTAGTCATAAAATGGTTTCTTTTTTTAGTGAGGGCGCAAAAGTATGTTCTCCGCCGGACGAAAGCTCTTCGGTCAGTGAAAACGGAGGTAGTCCTCACAGGAAAAAATCTACTGAGGTAAATATTTTGAGATACTAAATTTGAGATTATAATACTTTTTGTAGATCTATGATATTGTAGGATTAATTATAAAATAGGGCCTTACTCAAACCGAATTTGTGCCATTCACAAATATAATGACATCTTTCGAAAAGTTTTTGAATTTTTAAAATTGAATCCAGAATTTTGGAGAAAATATCGATAAAATATCTTGCATTTATCTAATAATTGTAAAAAGATGGTTCGGCGGGAGGCTGGTACAATAAGAGCGTTTACATTCCAAAAATTCAAAAAACATGCTGCATATTAAAATTTCATGAAATTAAGTTTCTTAACTTAATGACTTTCTTTCTTCTTACGATTGGTGCCAAGCTCTCGCAAAATTCCAAAATTAAAACTTTCTCATTTCATGTGATATATCTTCATACACGTTGACTGCGATTTCTTTGGATCTATATCGATTTTCCATGCTAAAATATTTACATATGTTTTATTTAAAAATTTATATTGTGTATAGCGCCGATTTTGATAAGATAGAATAGGTGATCCTTTTGTGAAGCCGGTTATCGATATTATTATTTTTATTTTTTTTTTTTTTATTATTAACTCTTTTATTTACAACTGTCCAGTATAGGACATTCAGTAAATTTAATGGATTTACAATAGTCCGCCGAAAAGGTACATTGTATACTACTTTGACTTGTTGGAAAAAACAACTCAGTAGTTGTTTTTTCGATATAAAATTTACAATATTTACTTATTAAATAATTTCCTATAAATAATGATTAAGTTATTTCCATTTTTTTCTCAGGAGATTTGATTGCTTAAATCCAGTGGCGCTTTTCTTTTCAACCTTCAACGATAGTTCTCTGTTATCAATGAGTTTGCTAATGTATTTGGGTGATTGATTAGCTTGTTTCTATACTTCTGTGCTGTTTTTGTTATTACTTCATTTATGGTAGGTGTATTCGTGTCAGCATGAATCAACCAGTTGGGAACATATTTTGGAGCTCCTAAGGCAATTTTCAAAAATTTGTTTTGAAATTTCTGTATAATTTCTATATTGGTCTTATGAGCACTGCCCCACAATTGTATACCATAACACCAAATTGGTTTGAATAAAGTTTTATATAAAAGTAGCTTATTGTACGTCGTCCAGAAGTCCTGGAAAGCGTTTATAGTGTGGAAGAAGATACTGAACAGCAGCAGCAATCGTCGGCCAGTACTAGTGGTATACTCGATTCTCAAAGAACTGAGAAAACTAGCGCCGAGAAAAAACGGGAAGGGTTTAGAAATCACACCGAAAGAGCTGCTCAAGAATCTGATGATTCTGATACTTGGACATACAACTCATCAGATAAATTACCAAAAGAACAGTCACCTAAAACTCAAGTCACAGTTTATAATCGAGTCATGTCGAATCACAGATCGGTGATTAAACCGAAAGATGTTAAATATAAAAGGATAAACAAAGCCAAATCAAAAAGCTTGGAAGAATTAAGAGGCAGGCTTAGAAACTGGGTTGATAAAGGTAACAGACATATACCCAACTTGGAACAGTCGCAGAGCTATGCTTAATTAGTAAATTTGTGTATTCCTGGTGAATAAGTACCATTTTAATAGTATATATATTGTATGTAATACATACAACTACAACTAGAGAATATTCGGTAGAGATGTACACAAATCAAAGATATATATTAAGAGCTATATTTTTAGCATAACCATGTAATCCTAAAATTAAACCTCGATATGAATATATGCTATATGTATATGTAAACAAAATTTTAAGTGAAATTAAAAAACTTGAAAATAATAATTGCATTTTACAAATTATTTTAGTTTTAGGTAGTGTTTTTGTCTAATTTGCAAGTTTATATTCTCTTTAGATTGCTAGTTATAAGTTCTAAAATTTTCTATGCTAAAAATTGACAAATTATTCATGAAAAATATATTTTAACTAATGTCCTGATAAGTGGGTTACTATAACTCGATTAACGTCCATGATTCTTACAAGTATCAACCAATTCCTATTCTTCATTTTCAGTTTGAATATTTTTGGACTACAGTCGATTCATAAGATAGTAATAATGATAGAGCACATATTAAAAATATTGTTTTAAAACTTTACATTCACAAAATTATTGCTCAATGCATTTGCATTTTCATTTGTAACTAGCTGACCCGGCAAACGTTGTTTTGCTAAATAAGGTATATTCTAGACAATTTCTAGAGAATCAAAAATATTAATACTTTAAGTGTATAAGCATGTGTTGTTTGAATGCTATATACAATGAAGTATTATAAAAACAATAAACCCCATTGGTTCCGGATAATGCGAAGTCCGGATAATCCGAAGTCCGGATAATCCGAAGTCCGGATAATACGAAGTCCGGATAATCCGAAGTCCGGATAATCCGAAGTCCGGATGAACCGAAGTCCGGATGAACCGAAGTCCGGATAATCCGAAGTCCGGATAATCCGAAGTCCGGATAATCCGAAGTCCGGATGATCCGAATTCCGGATAATTCGAATTCCGGATATTCCGAATTCCGGATATTCCGAATTCCGGATATTCCGAATTCCGGATATTCCGAATTCCGGATAATCCGAATTCCGGATAATCCGAATTCCGGATAATCCGAATTCCGGATAATCCGAATTCCGGATAATCCGAATTCCGGATAATCGGAATTCCGGATAATCGGAATTCCGGATAATCGGAATTCCGGATAATCGGAATTCCGGATAATCCGAATTCCGGATAATCCGAATTCCGGATAATCCGAATTCCGGATAATCGGAATTCTGGATAATCCGAATTCCGGATGAACCGAAGTCCGGATGAACCGAAGTCCGGATAATCCGAAGTCCGGATAATCCGAAGTCCGGATAATCCGAATTCCGGATAATCCGAATTCCGGATAATCCGAATTCCGGATATTCCGAATTCCGGATATTCCGAATTCCGGATATTCCGAATTCCGGATATTCAGAATTCCGGATAATCGGAATTCCGGATAATCCGAATTCCGGATAATCCGAATTCCGGATAATCCGAATTCCGGATAATCCGAATTCCGGATAATCCGAATTCCGGATAATCCGAATTCCGGATAATCGGAATTCCGGATAATCGGAATTCCGGATAATCCGAATTCCGGATAATCCGAATTCCGGATAATCCGAATTCCGGATAATCCGAATTCCGGATAATCCGAATTCCGGATAATCCGAATTCCGGATAATCCGAATTCCGGATAATCCGAATTCCGGATGATCCGAATTCCGGATGATCCGAATTCCGGATAATCCGAATTCCGGATAATCGGAATTCCGGATAATCGGAATTCCGGATAATCCGAATTCCGGATAATCCGAATTCCGGATAATCCGAATTCCGGATAATCCGAATTCCGGATAATCGGAATTCCGGATAATCGGAATTCCGGATAATCGGAATTCCGGATAATCGGAATTCCGGATAATCCGAATTCCGGATAATCCGAATTCCGGATAATCGGAATTCCGGATAATCGGAATTCCGGATAATCGGAATTCCGGATAATCGGAATTCCGGATAATCGGAATTCCGGATAATCCGAATTCCGGATAATCCGAATTCCGGATAATCCGAATTCCGGATAATCCGAATTCCGGATAATCCGAATTCCGGATAATCCGAATTCCGGATAATCCGAATTCCGGATAATCGGAATTCCGGATAATCGGAATTCCGGATAATCCGAATTCCGGATAATCGGAATTCCGGATAATCCGAATTCCGGATAATCGGAATTCTGGATAATTCGAATTCCGGATAATCCGAATTCCGGATAATCCGAATTCCGGATAATCCGAATTCCGGATAATCCGAATTCCGGATAATCCGAATTCCGGATAATCCGAATTCCGGATAATCCGAATTCCGGATAATCGGAATTCCGGATAATCCGAATTCCGGATAATCGGAATTCCGGATAATCCGAATTCCGGATAATCCGAATTCCGGATAATCCGAATTCCGGATAATCCGAATTCCGGATAATCCGAATTCCGGATAATCGGAATTCCGGATAATCCGAATTCCGGATAATCGGAATTCCGGATAATCGGAATTCCGGATAATCCGAATTCCGGATAATCCGAATTCCGGATAATCCGAATTCCGGATAATCCGAATTCCGGATAATCGGAATTCCGGATAATCGGAATTCCGGATAATCGGAATTCCGGATAATCCGAATTCCGGATAATCCGAATTCCGGATAATCCGAATTCCGGATAATCGAAATTCCGGATAATCGGAATTCCGGATAATCGGAATTCCGGATAATCCGAATTCCGGATAATCGAATTCCGGATAATCGGAATTCCGGATAATCGGAATTCCGGATAATCGAATTCCGGATAATCCGAATTCCGGATAATCGAATTCCGGATAATCGGAATTCCGGATAATCCGAATTCCGGATAATCCGAATTCCGGATAATCGGAATTCCGGATAATCGGAATTCCGGATAATCGAATTCCGGATAATCCGAATTCCGGATAATCCGAATTCCGGATAATCCGAATTCCGGATAATCCGAATTCCGGATAATCGAATTCCGGATAATCGGAATTCCGGATAATCCGAATTCCGGATAATCGGATTCCGGATAATCGAATTCCGGATAATCGGAATTCCGGATAATCGGAATTCCGGATAATCCGAATTCCGGATAATCGGAATTCCGGATAATCCGAATTCCGGATAATCCGAATTCCGGATAATCCGAATTCCGGATAATCCGAATTCCGGATAATCCGAATTCCGGATAATCGGAATTCCGGATAATCGAATTCCGGATAATCCGAATTCCGGATAATCGGAATTCCGGATAATCGGAATTCCGGATAATCGAATTCCGGATAATCGGAATTCCGGATAATCCGAATTCCGGATAATCGGAATTCCGGATAATCGAATTCCGGATAATCCGAATTCCGGATAATCCGAATTCCGGATAATCCGAATTCCGGATAATCGGAATTCCGGATAACGAATTCCGGATAATCGGAATTCCGGATAATCCGAATTCCGGATAATCGGAATTCCGGATAATCGGAATTCCGGATAATCCAATTCCGGATAATCGGAATTCCGGATAATCGAATTCCGGATAATCCGAATTCCGGATAATCCGAATTCCGGATAATCGAATTCCGGATAATCGAATTCCGGATAATCCGAATTCCGGATAATCCGAATTCCGGATAATCGGAATTCCGGATAATCGGAATTCCGGATAATCGATAATCCTTCCGGATAATCGGAATTCCGGATAATCCGAATTCCGGATAATCGGAATTCCGGATAATCGGAATTCCGGATAATCCGAATTCCGGATAATCCGAATTCCGGATAATCCGAATTCCGGATAATCCGAATTCCGGATAATCGGAATTCCGGATAATGAATTCCGGATAATCGAATTCCGGATAATCGAATTCCGGATAATCGGAATTCCGGATAATCGGAATTCCGGATAATCCGAATTCCGGATAATCCGAATTCCGGATAATCCGAATTCCGGATAATCCGAATTCCGGATAATCCGAATTCGGATAATCCGAAATCCGGATAATCGGAATTCCGGATAATCGGAATTCCGGATAATCGGAATTTCGGATAATCCGAATTCCGAATAATCGGAATTCCGGATAATCGGAATTCCGGATAATCCGAATTCCGGATAATCCGAATTCCGGATAATCCGAATTCCGAATAATCGGAATTCCGGATAATCGGAATTCCGGATAATCGGAATTCCGGATAATCCGAATTCCGGATAATCCGAATTCCGGATAATCGGAATTCCGGATAATCGGAATTCCGGATAATCCGAATTCCGGATAATCGGAATTCCGGATAATCCGAATTCCGGATAATCGGAATTCCGGATAATCCGAATTCCGGATAATCCGAATTCCGGATAATCCGAATTCCGGATAATCGAATTCCGGATAATCCGAATTCCGGATAATCCGAATTCCGGATAATCCGAATTCCGGATAATCCGAATTCCGGATAATCGGAATTCCGGATAATCCGAATTCCGGATAATCGGAATTCCGGATAATCCGAATTCCGGATAATCCGAATTCCGGATAATCCGAATTCCGGATAATCCGAATTCCGGATAATCCGAATTCCGGATAATCCGAATTCCGGATAATCGAATTCCGGATAATCGGAATTCCGGATAATCGAATTCCGGATAATCCGAATTCCGGATAATCCGAATTCCGGATAATCGAATTCCGGATAATCGAATTCCGGATAATCGGAATTCCGGATAATCGAATTCCGGATAATCGGAATTCCGGATAATCGGAATTCCGGATAATCCGAATTCCGGATAATCCGAATTCCGGATAATCCGAATTCCGGATAATCCGAATTCCGGATAATCGATTTCGATAATCCAATTCCGGATAATCGGAATTCCGGATAATCCGAATCCGGATATTCGGATAATCCGAATTCCGGATAATCGGAATTCCGGATAATCGGAATTCCGGATAATCCGAATTCCGGATAATCCGAATTCCGGAT